ACGTCCGCCGCAAAGGTCACACCAACGTAGCACGCCACCGACGTCCCAAAACCGGCGTTCACCTCCACACCCACACGCACGTCGCGCACGCACAAGTCAGCGCCGTCGGCGCTTGGGGACTCGGGGACAGCAACGGGCAGGCACGCATCGCCGTGGCCGCCCTCCGCGCACGTGCAGGCGCAGCCATCACTCGAGGCCGTCGTCGTGTACACGGGGAAGCACGACGCCGCAAGAGTGCATGGATCGCTGCAGGTCAGAATGGTGGCATTGTACACGGACGGAATAACGTAGTACGCCTCCTCCTCGCCGTTCACAGTGTTGCACGCGGCCACAATCTCTCCTTTTTTGAGGTCTCTGGAAACTGCAGGTATCCACAGCGCTTTCGTCATTCCCCTGCTGGAAATAAATTGATTGTCGGACACAGACAACGTGGAGTCGCGGAGATTCACCGTGGAGTAAAAAAAAGCAAAGGCTTCCGATGGGGATTCACGGCAGAGATTGCCGCTCAACTGCAGCCAGGAGTGGTAGTAGATGTTGGAGGTGTAGCTTGAAAAGGACACAACCGAGCTTCCCTGCATGTCGTTCCTCTGAAACACAACAGCTGAAAAAGACTCCACACGTAAGACCGACAAAATGTTCATGAAGTACTTCACCGGCCTCGTCACAACGTTGCCTCGGATCACCACGGCAGAGTTGTTCAGTACACTCAGCAATGAGGACTGGCCAGACCTTTCAAGATATATCAGCGTACTGTTAGCGCCGTCCATATGAAACGCGTTGCCCAACACCGCAAACACAGAGTGCCAAGACACCCTCAGCGCAGATCTGACAACTCGAATGGCGCTTGACGATGCCGTCACGGTCTGAAACACATTGCCGCTCAGCACCACCGCGGAGTCATTGCTGATCGCCAGCCCATTCATCGCAACACACGACGGCCTCCTAAGAACCAAACCCGACCGAGGGATCAGCCTCGTGACAGTGAAGCGGTTCCCGCTGATTGTGATGTTCGTGCGCGGTGGAAACACACCCTCCGGACTGAGCAGCGCGTCACTAAATGTGTTGCCGGTGACGACGATGTTCAGCGACCCCACAGCGGCGTACACGTTGCCCAACAGCAACAGCACGGCACCGTCCCTCCACGTGCATCCATCGAACGTGACATTCACCACGTCGCCCGTCATCGCCCCTATCAGCACCGTCAGGCACATGCCGCCCCCGCTGAACGTCACGTTGCGGTAGCACAGCCACGACAGCCCGCCGCCCACAGACTGCGCCACCTCGGGGTACACCATGTCGCTGATGCACTCACCAACCGGCGGTGGCGGCGTGGGTGTTGCTGGTGGTGGTGTTGTTGGTGGCGGTGGCGGTGGGCCAGCAGGCACAGGCGCCGGGACACACACATCGCCGTGCCCTCCAGCAGCGCACTGGCACTTGCAGTCCTTGATCGCCGTCGTCAGCGGAGCAAAGCAGTCGCCGTCCTTCGTGCACTCCCCGCACGCGGCAACCGTCGTCACGTTGGTGATGCCGTGGAGCGCCAGTTCTTCCGCCGTCGTCACCTTCCGTCCCGCGACCGTCAGGCACCCAGCAACGAACCGGTAGCCGGCCCCAACCCGCGATAGCAGGGGTCCCGACAACCCCGTCGAGCCCATCTTGCAGCTCGTCAGCGTCACCACACTGCTGCCGTCGATGATCACAAAGGTGGTATCACAGTCCTTGAAAATCGCACCCAATCCCACGTCGTTGTCGCGCCAATCCAGCCAGCTTGACCGCTCAACAATCCAAAATCTGTTAGCGTAAATAGCATAGAATGAAAAAACGCTGTTCCCCACCACGCGCAACACGCTGTGATCCGATACGCTGAATCCCTGGCGCAGATAAAGAAGGCTTGCCCCAAAAGAAATTCTATTGCTGAGAAGCGCAAAAACAGAGTGATCACTCACAGTGAGGGTATTCACGTACAGCAGATGTGCGTATCCATCGAAGCTGCAATACCGCGTGTACAGCGAGCTGCCACGGTCCAGCGTCAGCATCCCGCTCGAGTATAAACCAGACCCCCCATACCTCATTGCATGCGCCTTGACGTTGCTCACCAACAGCGAGGAAGCACTCAAAAAAAAGTTCTGCAGCAGCACCACGCTCAGCATGTTGCTCATAAGGTCAAGCAGCTGGACCTCAGAAGACTGCAGCGCGTCAACCTCCGTGACGGCGATGTCGCAGTGCTGCGGGAGGGCGAGTGCAAACACAACAACGGAGGACCGCATCACCGTCTGGCTCACGCGGATCAGGACGCCAGCTGACTCGGCCGCCGCAGCACCCCCAACAAACTGCAGCGCGACACCCTCACGGAATGTGCACCCAGTGAGCGTGATGTTGATGGGGAGATGCAGCGGCATACGATTGAGAAAGAACGTCAGCACAGCACCCACGCCGCTGAATGTCACACCCACGTAGCAGTGGTGCGTCTTCCACATGTTCAGCGTGAGGTTCGTCAGCGTCTGGTTCACCACGCAGCTCGTGTCGCCGTCGACGGCTCTCTCCGGCACGGGAAGCAAAAAAGTGTCGGGCACCTCGAAGGGAAGACACGACGCGCCATGCCATCCGTCCTTGCAGCTGCACGAGCACAAGCTGCGGTCCACCGACTCCGTCCCGGGCATGTAGCACGCCGCGTCGTCGTTGCACGTGCCGCACCTGAACAGCACCACTTCCCCAGGAAGCGCGCCGTCGCACGACACCTCCTCACCGCCCTGCAGGTTGCACCCCACCACAAACCGCGCGGGTGACGTCACAATCGTGCTCCATGGAGGAATTTTCGCAAAGGCTTTACTCGACTCCGCCTGACGGTTGTTTGATAGCACCACGGTGGTGCCGCTGCCCGACAGCTTCATTTTTTGCTTGGAATTAGGCATACCTATCACTGAGGCTGCGCTCACGCTGTTGCCCTCCACACGCCACTGCGCACCACCCTGGAGAATCACAGAACCGTCCAAAAACACTAGCGTGGAATCAAAACTCTCCTTCCTGCCAAAGAAGGTGCAGTCCGCCACTCGCAGCAGCCCCGCGGAGCTCACGGTGGTATCCCCAAAAAGATAAATGCCATTTACTGCGCTCATCGTGTTGTTCTCCACGTCAATGTAGCCGCCGTTCCTCACATCAACAGCGGGAAAACAAACGGCTGATGCCGATCTGTAATCCCTCTTCTTTGATCTCAGCGTATTTCCCTTCACAATGATCCCGCCACCATCAAAAACAAAAGCATCGGGGGAATAAACTGCATAAATATTCCCCTCGATTTTGTTGCCGAGTAGAAGCAGCGTCGTGTTCTCACCAAAAGTAAACTTCGGGAATCGAATGGCGTAGCTCGACGTCGTCACAAGCGTACTGCCCACCACCAGTATCTGGAAGCTCGCGCCAAAATCACCCTCAAACTCCAACTCACCGGAATCCAGCATCGAAGACGTCACGTTCACGTGCACACGCGCACCACTCCCCTTGATCGACAGGCCCATGAGGACGCACTGCAGCAGCGTGATGTTGAGTGTCTTTTGTGGCGCGTCAAAATACGACAGGTCCAGCACAATCGCAGCGGTGAAGGTCACGTTGACGAAGCACAGACCACGCACACCGGGATCAAGATCGTCCACGGAGCTGATGCTGCCACCGTGCACGCAGCAGATCTCCGTGTCGTCCGCATCGGGGAGCGGGAGCGGCCCAAGGCCGTCCGGAACCACAGCTGGCAAACACGTGTCACCGTAGCCGCCAGCAGCGCACACGCACTCACAGCCGCTGATGCTGCTCGTCCTCGCCGCAAAGCACACGGCCTCCACGGTGCACGCGCCACAGTCCAACACCCTCACGGGTGCTCCAATATTGAGGACGACTCCGTAATTCGTCACGGGAGAGCCACGTGCCTCGTTGCACACGCCGTAGATGGTCGGGCGAGAGTCGGATGGCGGTGGCCAGTTGCTTGTCATGTGTGCAATGGATGACGAGTACGAGCCATACGTGAATTTGTTGTCAAGTATCGACCACACACTCCGATCGTGGAACGTCACGCCGTTCTTGTTGGCCACGTACACAACGTAGGCGGTGCGAAACTCGTTGTCGCGGTGCACCAGCCAGCTGCCGCCAGCCACGGTCAGCGTGTTTGCCATGAGCATGGCGAAGCCGAGACGGAACTCGCTGGACACGATCTGCAGCACGCTGCCGCCATCCACCGCAACGTCCCCAAACACACACGCGCCCTTGTAATATTCGGTGCTCGGCGCACACCACGAGCTGTTCTGTATGGAGAACACGGAGCCGCCGCCAACACGGAGGTACGACGCAAGAGCGTACATCACGTGCGTCTGCGCATTGACGGCGCAGTTGTCCATGTAGAAGGCGCTGGACAGGTTCACGCCAAGGCCGTGCTCCACGAGGATCGCAGCGCACGAGCCTCCGCCACACACCAGCGTCGACCGCGTCATGACAAACCGCGTCGACAGAAGCCGGACGCCGTCCAGGACAAGCGCGGGGCCGTACCGAAATCCCGCATGTCCAGGAGTCGTCGGCACGTACTGCGACCCGCCAACCGTCGCGCGCAGCGTTGAGTTCGCCAGCAGCACACTCGAGTGCAGCGGCATCGCGCCATGCAGCACGATCGTGCCATCCAGCGACGTCACATTCGTCATGTTGACGAGGGCGTGCGGCATCGGGCGCGCCGTGCTCTCGCTGAGGCCGCCAATTCGCAGCTGCGCGCCACCCGCAAGCACGCAGTGGCGCAGCGTCACGTTCAGAGCGTCAGCGAACGCATCCATCGAGCGCAGGTCCACCGCCACAGTGATCGACCCGCTAAACACCACCGAGTCGAAGCACGCCGTCGCCCGCCCGCCGCCAACCGTCACCGACTCCGTCAGCGTCACGCCACTCACGCAGCCCTCCGCGCCGCCACCACCGCCGCCGGACCTCGCAGGCGGCACGTCGAACGGCAGGCACGCCTCGCCCACGCCGCCGGCACGGCAGCTGCACACACAGTCAGAGAACGACGCCGTCAGCGCATCAAAGCATGCCAGCGCTGCCGCACAGCCGTCGCACGGCACCACGCTCACGGAAAACATGCCGGCCGAACGGTAGTCGTCGCTGCTCTGCAGCACCCGGCCGCCGGCACGGTTGCACTGCACCGACACGGCCCCGCTCGTGATCGCCAGCCCGGAGACAAGCGTAGCGCCGGTGGCAGCGCAGCGCGCAATCGACACGGTGCCGCCGCTCAGCGTCACCCCCGACAGCGACGCCACAGACGACGCCTCGCCCACCGCCCACACGTCGTGCAGGTCCAGCCACCCGCCGGCACCGACCGTCCCACCGTCGCAGCGCACCAGCGAGGACGCGACAGACCCCTCGACGCCCGCGAAGCGCAGCACCGAATCAACCACCGCGAGGCGCTCTCCGAGCACAATGCCGCCGCCGCTGCTCACAACCGAGACGTTCGTCACGGAGAACACCGAGTGGCTCTGCAGACTGAGACACGACGAAGACGCCACACGCATCGCGGACGCGGTCGCACCGCCCGACGCCTCCAGCAACACGCCGTCAATCACCACCGCGCTCGACAGCAGGTCCACACCGCCGCCAAAATACACCGCCGAGCCGCCCGCCTGCAACGACCTCAGCACAGTGTTGCTCACACGCAGCTGCGACTGCAACAGCGACGTCGCGTGCAGCACAAGCGGCGACGCCACCGCGTCCGTCAGCCCGCTCAGCTGCGAGTAGCGCATCGGTCCCGCCGTCACAATCGTCGAGTCACGGACCGTCACGTTCGTGTGTGCCGGCAGGTTGTGCGCAAACACAAGCGAGCAGTAGCTCCCAGACAGCCCGCTCACGCTCACCTCCAGGCTCCGGTCAGTCGCCGGCTCACCGCTGTAACCCCGCACGTAGAGCTGCGCACCGCCGTCGCACACGCAGTCCCTCAATTCAATGCGCAGCGCGCCGGGAAGCATCGCCGCCAAGTCGAACACCACAGCCACGCCGTTCGTGATGGACACGCCGTCCATCAGCACCGTGTCCACGGCGCAGCCAACCGTGATGGCTCTGTCCACCGTGCCGCCCCGCAGTCGCAACACCACCGCATGCACAGCAGGCATCCACGCCGCCGCCGCAACCAGCGCCAACACAACGAGCAGCGCCACACGCACAGTCGCAATGGCCCTGCGCCGCACACGGTGCCGGCTGCGCGGACACGCACCCACCGCAGACCGCATCCTCCAACCCACACAGGTATCAATAAAGCCTTCTTAGTCTATCGTTCTCGCCCAGTCGACCGTAACTCCCGTTTAGCAAATCCCCTTTCTACAGATGGCGAATCCAGTGACACAATTCCGATATTTCGTTAACCCAATACTGCTTATCCTAATACTGCAAGTAATCCCTAATAGCTTGAAACGATAGTTGTGATGGTCAATCCAAAGTATCTCTATCTGCTTGGCCAAAAAAGGAAGAGGAAGCAACAATAGTAACCAAACACAGTGGCACACAGAAGCATCCAGCCACAGACAGTCCTCTTCACAGCACAGCCGCCGACACAAAGACGCGCAGACGCCACCACGCCAGTGACACCATCGCCCTCCCACCGCCCACGCAGCTCCACACAGCCACCATGCAGAGTGGCGCTATTTCAGCAAAAAGACACATGACCATTGGCACCGCTCTTGCAACCAAATGTTTCTACCACAGAGCATTCCCGATGCAGTGAAAGACACTCAAGGGCCGAGACAGACCCGCGTGGCATCGTTGCAACCGGCAGCCATCGAGCGTGTCAAAGGTTAAAATGGTGACGCGGAAAAAAGGGGTGGAGAATTCGCCAGTTGCCAGCAGTCAAAGCGTCGTTTTTCGCTCACGTAGGTTGGTATTGCACAACAAACAGCGGCACTATACGCGCACACAGCACACACAAGAAGGAAGGGATGAAGAAGTACGGCGGCGGCACCCAGACACGGGGAAAAAAAGTCCACATCGATTGTGTGGCCTGTTGACTCATAGACGTCCGGTTTGTAATCACGACGCTGCCCTGCAATTCGTCAGTCTGCAGGAGACTGGGGAACGGAGGGAAGGGAGAGAGGGTCGGTGCGGCCCTCATCCATCTCGGTTGGATGTGGCACCGGTGACGTCATCTCGTCAGATCACCTGCAGCAAAGACTGTCGCATTCAGCAGAGGTTGGTGCCTTCCTTCTCCCACCGGGCGCCACTCCACCGACGCCGTCACCCGCCTCCTCCCCACCAACACAACGAGGGAGCAGCAGCGGACGATGCGACACGTGCGACGAGCACGCAGCCGCAGGGTCCCATTGCTGCCGCCATGAGCAAACAAGACTGGCTGCAGGACTCAAAAAGAAGGGTAAGCACCCCATCAAACGCTTTAGCATCACGCGGAAAAACCGCAACCGACACACAAGGCGAAGCGCCGTGAAGCAGCCACCAAAACCAAAGCTCCTCCAACAAATCCATCGTGAAGCAAAAGAAAAAATTCACACAAACTGAAAAAAAACAATGCTGAGGCAGTGTCAATAAATAGTTGTGGTGCGCAGCGGCCGTGGCATCGCACTCTTCCCTCATCAAACGGCACCGCACCACAACGCACCGTGACGACAACATGCAACGACGACGATTGAGTAGCACACACAAAGCGGCATAAACCTTTCATCCCGCACTCGCTCAAATTTATGCTCTCAGTATGTACTGCCAACGACACGGGGAAGAACACGGAAGGGGACTGTCCTGTCCATCCTCCCTCTGCTCACAACAGACCCTCCCCATCCTCCTCCTCGCCACGCCCTGGGTGCCGCAAAACGCCGTCGAGCAAAGCCACGTGTATGGAAGTCCCCAATGCGCAGGGCGGTGCTGGCAGCCACCCACGCTCACTCTCCCGCACACATCCTCTCCCACAGCTTTCCCACACACAAAAGGGCAAAGACATGGAGAAGAGAAACACGCCGCACAACGCACGCAGAAGCACCGCCATCCACGTCGCGCCGCAAGAGAGAGTCATGCGCACAGCAGACCCACGGCCGCAACGAAAGGGACGGAGCGCATACATGTCCGCGGCGCTGTCCCTACTTCTCTCTGCCCCGACGGATAGGCATTACGCCTCACAGCAGGTTGTGGCGAGTGGCGCCATACACTCACAGTGAGGCACGGCGCACACCATCCGCTCTCCTCCGAGTGCACTCAACAGGCCGGGACACGGCGTCCAGCCAATCTATTGACATCGCAAAGGCGAACAAAAACAATCGTCTTTGCGGAATATCAGTGCCTCTAGCGGGGAAGAAAAAAAAGAGGCAATAGGGGCATGTCAACAGCACGGTCAGCAGAGGGACAAGAAAAGGGACACAAAGTGGCAGTGGACATGGCACAGACAAAAAAAAGTCCGCAGGGACTTAAAAAAAAGAAAAACGAAACAAAAGGGTAGGAGTTCAGAAAAACTCCCAAAAATATAAAAAAGAAAAAAAATTGATTCGGCAGGACTTTTACTTCATGTGCCGGTTCAGCACAAGACGACCGTGTGTTCTGTATGCATATTACCTGCACCAAAACGAAAAAAATGAAATTGTACTGTTCCACCAGCCCACACAACATCCCTCACATTTCATTGCGGCATCCGGCCTTTTCTTCCAATCCTCCCTTCATGCAGTCCGTGGGACGCACAGCCGCAGGGCCAGCACCGCGTGTGGGCAACAAAAAGCAAACAAGAGGGGGAACACGTCACTCATGACAGTGTGCAGCAACCAAACATTAAAAAAAAAAAAAAAGAATTACTGAGTATTACAAAAAAACACTAAAAAAAAAAAAAAAAGAAAAAAAAGGAAGAACCCGCGAGGAATGCGCCACACAATCTCCGTGAGGAGTCGCAATTTCACATTCTTCGGCTCACAAGACTGCCACAAGTGCACACAGTCCCAGAAGAAGCAGCAACGCCCGGGAGACGCACGCAAACGCAGTGCTGTCACCACGTAAATCATGCAGGATCAATTTCGCGTCGGTGATCAGGGCGAGGCGGTCCTCTGGACCCATACTGCCATCGGATACTGAGTGATTGGTTCCTGGAACGGAACTGTCATTTTTGGCGGCAGTGTGTAGACGCAATTCTTCCATAACATTCTCAGCACTCGATTGACTGCCCGCAAGAACACGGACAGACTGAGGTTCAGTCGGCTGTGCAATTGGAGCCTCTTCAACGTCTGCCAAGGAAGTCGTCAGCTGTGTGGCCGTCTGCAGTGTAGCTGCCGGCTGTGTGTCTTCCTGCGTTGTGGCCTCCCGCGTTGCAGCTCCCAGCTGTGCAACGTCCAGCTGTCTGACCTTCTGCTTTTCTTCCTCCGTCGCTGTGAATTTCACCGCAGTGTCCAGTTCTTCGGCAGCCGGATGTCGAATAGGGACTGTCCTGGCGTTGAGGCTTCTGAAATCATCACCATACAGTATGCGGTTGTACAGAAGGACATCAGCCACCGTCACAGGGCTGCTCTCTTCATCTTCCTTATTGCCCGCACCAAAGAAGAAGTGTGAGATCCTGTGTGAACCAAACTGATCAGCGTTACGGTGCTGAGCCATTTCCTCCTCTTCCAGTTCTTCTTCATCCGTCTCGTATATTCTTCTCCCATTAGCGTACACAAACCATTCATCATCGTTATTCTTTTGCACCGTCACTCGAATTGCCGTGTTCTTTTCCCAATTGCCAACATCACCAGACGGCTTCACCAAAAAATCCTTCTTGTGAAGTGTGAGGTTCCAATTTCCTTCACTCGTGTACGAGAGCTGAAAGAGCACCGTGCCGTCTTGGTCGTTCAGCCTCGCACCAATCAAAGGGCTGCTGCCTTCCTTCGGCACCTCGTGGATGGTCACCGTCGCCGAAAGAGTGAACTTGTTGTTTGTAAAGTAGTACGGCACAGTCTGCCCCATGTCGCCAACAGGCCACTGCGCCTCTGCTCCCCTAAGCGTCACACCGCTCTCCGTGCTGGTCACTCCGCCCCTCACTGTGGCATTCACGCCGAGGTACTCGTCCTTCCATGCAGTCCCGTCCAATGTGCCGGACAAAACACCAACCAGCCCCTCAGTGGGAACTTTCAAGGCGTTGTCCAATTCTTTCCATGTCTTCACCGCAGACTTTATCCGCTCCAGCTGCTCAGTCAGGCGCATGGCGACAAGACTGTATGGCCCGTCATCATTCCTCTTCTCGTAAAGTAAAATCAGCTCATCCTTACTTTTCACCAGAAGAGAACTGGCGGCAGCGTCATCTCCTCCACGAGATATCGGCCCAACATCATACACACGTGCATTGTCCGTCACCCAAAGATGAAGCCGACCCTCTTCACTTCCATTTTCCTTTGCGGCATACACCGGCGCGGTGATGAGCATCACCTCCTTACCCTCAATGGTGGCGGTGGTAAATCCACTCTTGACGCCGTCCCCTGTTCGACCACGCGAGTTGCCCCACACGCGGTTAATTGGCTCACCCAAATTATACCAACTGACTCCTTCCGGAGTGGACCTGTAAACGTCATAGTAGCCTCCAGCACAATGAGCCATCATGAAGGGTCTTTCGTCGCCTTCGTTTTCTCCCCACTCCACAATGGATGGATCCCTGCAGCCGTTACCAGTCGCTTCAGATGAAAATTCCCATTTCTTCTTTGACGGGTCAAAACTCATGGACAGTAAAACACTCGTTCCATCCTTGTTTTTGGCCTGAATGGGAAACACAAGCGTGCCGTCACGCATCACAGCGCCCGATCCTCCACCGCCAATTAACTCGGTCAAGGAAAGAGAATCTCCTTTGGGTTCAGGCTTCACCACATGGGCCTCATTCCACAAAAGTTTCTTGGTGTTTCCACCATCCACCGTGACAGTTCCCTTCACGAGTAAAAGGCCCCGCTCATTCTTAACTTCATCCTGCGGCTTTTTACGGCTTTGGTTTCCCAGGAGCATGTAAACACTGTCCCCAATTACAAGCGTCGTTGGCCGCAACACTTCTGTTGTCCCAAAATTATTCGCGGCGGTGTCCACAAGTTGCATGCAAAACAAACTTATATCCGACATCGAAATATCCATTGAGTCATCACTTATATCCAGGTGCTTTGACACAATCCCAGCACAGCTGCCGGCTCCGCTCTCCTCCCCGCACTGCGCTTCAGCAACGGCAAATACATCATCACCCACTTTAACGAGGCCAGGAACACGGAGCGAGGTGATTTTGCTTCCGGCCTCCTTAAACCCCCTCCAATTAGCAAGCGGTATCGACGCCGTCCCCTTAAATGGATCAATGGTATTCCTTGGATTACGGCCCCCAGCGGACGCAGCTCCACTGCCAAAGCACATCATAACGACAAATAGGAGCAGCACCGCCGAGTAGAAGTGATGCCGGGACATGTTAGGCCTCTGCGGCTCACTCTCTCTTCCTTCCCTCCTCCTTCCGCTGGATCCGGTCACACGGCGACGGTTGTGTGTGCGGGGTGCCTTGACAGCTGCAGCAACACGTGAGAGCATATAAATACGTGTGTGTGGGCGGTGTGTGTGCTGTTGGTCCTTTCAGAGCCTTACAATTTCACAGTAGCGATTCGCGTTTCGTTGCTTTCTTTCCTAGCGTGTCTTTGTTCAGGAAGTGGAGAGTACAGCAGCAAAAGCGGCAATACATCAGACACGTCAGCGGTGAGCAAAGCAGAGCACATCACTCACGCAAGGTGTGGGAAAAAATAGAATCCGTAAGGGACAGCACGGAAAAACAATTGCACACAGAAAACAAAAACAGCAACAACACGGCGGAACACGGCGGAAGCTAACACACACACACACACACACACACACACACATGCACATGCACGCGGAATTTCATCATTCGGCGAAGCCATTCAAAGTCCTGCCGAAACAGTCCGCAAGTGATAAAGTGATCGGTCACACGCTCCCGGTGCACCGCCGCGGCAAGGACGCGGACACCAACAAAAATATGTGCACAAACGTGGGCGGCACTAATTCACAGCACCGCCACACGACACTCGCTCTCTCTGTCCATCCCACTTCCCGTCTCAAAAGGCCTCGGCAAGCACCAATCAACAAAATAATGAGGCGGCGGAAACAAATTCCCTGCAGGCCCTTCAGGGCTCCACAGCAACACCACCAACAGGAGCGTGCATCCATCTGCTTGCAGCAGTGCACGCCTCTTTGCTCCTGGCCTCTCGGGGCGTTGAACGCCTCCCCGACCATCTCGCGCTCACAAAACAAGCCTCACGCAGATGGCATTCATTTTCTCCGCAAATGTTGTTGCCACGCTGAATCATGTGCAAATAATCCACAACTCATCACCCAAAGTTTCTTTCCATTGCCACAAAAAAAAAGACAAAATGTTTTTCAAAAGTCAACATAAATATCACTCCGCCCTATTCACTGCGCATTGCCCCGCACAGAATCGTTGTTACTCGCCCTCCGCTCCCCTCTCATCCCATTCCTGCCTGCCAGGACTTACATCACAGCTGCAATCCCTCCCAAGAAAGACTTTACCACATGCTGGCACAAGCCACATTTTCCCCTTGCATCCCGGTCTCCCGCCCACAGGAGGGCGAACAGGGGGATTGTGTGCATGTGCGCGTGGATGGCGATGTAAAAAACTCATGGAATTCAAAGAAATACGGCACGCAGAGCAACCCCGCCCACGGATTGGAGGTTCACTCGTGAACCGCAGCAGGAAGAGCAAACGTCCTCCTGTTGCCTTTCTGAGAGGCCGATTTATTATCATCACGCCGCCTCAACAGCGTGTACCGGCGAGCCGAGGAGGTGACTGCTCAATCGCTCCTCGTGTCGGAGGCGCCCACAACGTCTCCCTGCGGCCACGTGCCGTCAGCAACAAGCCGCATGGCAGAACGCAACACAATTCACCCACTCGCCAATAAAAGAAATAAAAATGCATCTCGCCGCCATAAAACGGCCGTCAGCATCTGTTTCACGGCAGACACCAAATGCCAAGGGATTGAAGAAAAAAAAATACGCGGATGGTCTCCCACAATACATTCCAGCAAAGGATAGCCTCTCAATCCTGTAAACACCGAATGATCTTCCGGGCAGCTGGCCGGATTCTGAAATAATCTATGGAAACCAAACAAGTTAGGAAAAAAGGGGGTTCGTTAGTTAATTGCTTCAATGTTTTCTTTTCATTCAATATATAAATTCTGTGGACCACTAGCATGGTGCTTTGTCCTCATTTAGGATCTGAAATATTATTACTTACGAAGTGGCACACTTTGGGGTCCTCCAGCCACAAGACCCCGCCGCTCCCCTTCGCCAATTCCACCCCTTCGACAAGTCCTGAAGTGTAAACACACGACCGCGTGATATGCCGTCTGCGGGGTTTCCCGCAGGCCGTACGTGGGCAAAGGATGCCTGTATTCCGCGAGAGTCCAAAAACATATATCCGTCGCGGCTCCCACGTCAATGCGTGTGATTTCGAGCTGCCTTTATTCGCCGCTCCCTGCAGCGAAGTGTTTTCCACCCAAAAGTCCATGATGGATGGCAAGATGGCGGAAAAGGCCGATAAGGCCAAGTGTACCGCGTGCCTCGGCCTGCATGATAAGAAAAGGGCTCCTCTTCCACTTTTCATCCGGCAATTTTAACAACACCGGGGCCTGGAATAAAAACGGCTCCCCATCCATGGAGCGATGCATCCGTGATGATGGCGGCTGATGCCTTTTCCGTGGGCCTGATGACTCGCTTACGATTGTTCTTGATGATGTGTCGCAATCCCTCGCCCAAACCAACCGCTGACGGCGGAAGGTTCGCCGGGGATGTCTCCTGCACAATTCCCCGGTTAAGTACGGATAATCGCCGTCGCACTGCCTTGATAAAAAAGTGGTAGTCGCATAAACGCGTGCCAAAAATGGCAGCCGCGTACAAAAAGCGTGACGCCGTAACCTCCATTTCCGCGATGGTTGAAGAATTAAGCGCCGACATGGCGCGCACAGAGCGGACAAACTTGTCACTCAGGGATACCGTCTGGAGTGATCAAACTGCACCCCCAGAAAGGTGTAATGCGTGGCGCCCGATTCGCGTTCCTCCCCCATGGATGCGTGACAACTGTCCGCATTAAGAAGCACTTGGGCTTCCCACAATGTCGCATCGCTTATCGACCCTGCACCGCGTATATTACCGATCCATACGTCGACACGCACCGATGGAGGTGCAGCCCAGAGGCGGTGAACCACCGTCGTCACCACCGCAATTGCCGAGGTAATAATAACCTGGAGAATTTCTGGGCTGGCCTTGTATCCCATTGGGAGCCGTGCCGGCCCCACCAGCGTGCCGTCCTCCACGCGGCACCGAAAGAGATGCCGAGTCTCCCGCGGTAAAGAGACTTGAAAAAAGGGTGCCTTGGGACCCAGGCAGGAAGCGGCCTCAGCCACCACTGGCGGCAAACAATGGAAAATATGTAAAAGAGGAACATGAGCCTCATAAGGTTCTTCTCTGTTCTTGTCGCGTGCCCACGCGATCCATCGCAGTCGTGAACCGGTTGTTTTCTCCTCCAAAACCAAAAAAAGAGTATTATCCATCAGCCGCTTTTTGCAAACGGAGCATCCTTGACGATTCCCGCTTCCTCCACCAATCGCGCGCCAATCCCTGGAATCCTCCCTGAGCCTTCGCGCGCTTTACAGGAGGAGGAAAGAGGAAAAGTGAGCCGCCAGACAAGTCCCCATACTTGCATTAGGCTCTCCAAGGTAGCCGGGTTCAACCGACTCATGATCCACTCTAGATTCAATACGGGCACGTTGAGCTGCCATAGCGGGATGGCTCGTTCCTCTTGTGGAGTGGCCAGACGCGTCATTGTCGCGCGTCTCGTTATTGTAGCAGCATGATTGCGATTAAAATCATGGAAAAGATGCTCCTCTGCTTTCAACCAGAGCTCTTGCCCTTCCGCAGTGTCTCCCTTCACATCAATGCGACCAGCGACGACACCTGGGTCAGCATTGTGGTGTAATTCCCCAGATATCGAACAGTATTCTGGGGAAGTTCGAACGGATTGACGTGCTTCACCAACTGCGAGATAACGTGTGGGTCCAAATTGTACGTCTCCACGATTAGAGAAGCGTGTCTCAACGCTCCCCGTTTTATGGAATGTGCCGTGGCATTGCAGGGTGCCAGAGCTCTTTCGACTTTGGCAGTCGTAATATTCGTGAGCTTTTCGTTTTCTTGAAGTGTCCTGCATAACTTTATAGTGCCGAAGGCGTCCTGCCCTCGTATCCTCACAAACCGCAAGGCGCGGTGGGGATCCGCCCTCGCCGTCTTCGGCGCCACGGACCAATCCAAAATTATTGTCCCGTCCGCCTCCAGTGTGACATTGTTGGGAGTCAAGGCCGCAATCTCAAACAAAAGACTCGCCGTTATCCACGCAAGTCGTAAGACCACACGTTCCTTCCAATCGGTCCGGCTGCGGATAACTTGATTCATCTCTTCCTCTGTCAAGGGCCGCGCCTGCTTCGTCTCCGATCGCGCCGCAATATTTCGTAGCCCCAGAATCGTCATGCCCAGCGGGGTTCGATTCATTTCCAACATAGACCGCAGCATCCTGGCGTACTGCCGTCGAGTCGGTGGCGCCAATTCGATTGCCAACAAAAAGGCCGCGCAGCTCTCCCCGTTCATCGGCTGTTCGTGCGTGCAGCAAAAGGTTGTAAATCGCCCCGCTAGGGACATTATCTGCTCCCACGTTGACGGCGCCCACATCTCTCGAGCGACCTCGTTCGCTCTCCTCATGTAGCTGGCCCAAAGCGGGGATGTCGGTGTTTCGTCGTACCACAGTCGAGTGTCGTTGGCGGATAAGCTCCATTGCCCTTCCCGATGATTGCGTCGGGCAATTTGTAATATCGGATGCAGCGCCGGCGGTGCGGTGCGACGAATGTGGGGAATAGTGGGAGGTGGTGGAATGGATGGGGCTGCCGTCGTCCGCTCCCATAAGAAGCAGCAAGCAGCCCCTCTGCCGTTTCTTGACGGCCGTCCGCGCTGCGAGTAACTTCCTCCAGTTGCGTCCCGGACGTTGCTTTTAGATGTGTCGTGTCCACAAACACGACACGACTGGCATCGCACCGGGCGTTGCGTCCCTCGCCGTTCCGCGGGAGGCTGGGTTGCCCTCGAAAAGGCGTCAGCCTCATGAACGGCGGCGCAAAGACGGGTGCGAACGTTTGAGAGCGGGATGCCGGGATCGGATGCCGTCATGAGCTGCACCCGGAATGCCTGCAGTAAGATCCTGCCAAAATTCATGAAGCGATCGGCGGGATCCCGCTCCGCTTCCACCGCGTCGATCCACGCAATCAACACTCGAAGGGAAGTTGAGCCTGGTCCTCCGCCCGTTTCCAATAATTGTATGCGCCCCGGAGGTCTAAAAAGACTCCGGAAACGCCCCCATTCCATATACGCGGGGCCCAAGTGGTGACGTCGAATGCGCGGAAACTTCGTTCCTCTACTTCTGCACCGGAATTTGCCTCCAATAGAAGTGCTGGAGGGCAAAGGCA